TCAGCCTGCTTCAGCCTCAGCCTCAGCCTCAGCCTCAGTCAGCCTCAGCCTCAGCCTCAGCCTGCCTCAGCCTGCCTTCAGCCTCAGCCTCAGCCTGCATCAGCCTCAGCCTCAGCCTCAGCCTGCCTCAGCCTCAGCCTGCCTCAGCGTCTGCCTCAGCCTGCCTCAGCCTCAGCCTCAGCCACAGCCACAGCCTCAGCCTCAGCCTCAGCCTCAGCCTGCCTCAGGCTCAGCCTGCATCAGCCTCAGCCTCAGCCTGCCTCAGCCTCAGCCTCAGCCACAGCCTGCCTCAGCCTCAGCCTCAGCCTGCCTCAGCGTCTGCCTCAGCCTGCCTCATCCTCAGCCTCAGCCTCAGCCTCAGCCTCAGCCTCAGCCTGCCTCAGCCTGCCTCAGCCTCAGCCTGCCTCAGCCTCAGCCTGCCTCAGCCTCAGCCTCAGTCTGCTTCAGTATCAGCTTGCCTAAGCCTCAGCCTCAGCCTGCCTCAGCCTCAGCCTCAGCCTGCTTCAGCTTCAGCCTCAACCTTAGCCTCAGCCTCAACCTTTTCCTCAGCCTCAGCCTCAGCCTGCATCAGCCTCAGCCTCAGCCTCAGCCTGCCTCAGCATCAGCCTGCCTCAGCGTCTGCCTCAGCCTGCTCAGCCTCAGCCTCAGCCTCAACCTCAGCCTCAGCCTCAGCCTGCCTCAGCCTCAGCCTGCCTCAGCCTCAGCCTCAGCCTGCCTCAGCAGCAGCCTGCCTCAGCCTCAGTTGGCTACGGGCATTCAAAATGTGGCCCGGGAATGGAGTTCTGGGAACTCGAAGAGCACGAAGTGGCCTACAGTTGGCTCCGGGCATTCAAAATGTGGCCCGGGAATGGAGTTCTGGGAACTCGAAGAGCACGAAGTGGCCTACAGTTGGCTCCGGGCATTCAAAATGTGGCCCGGGAATGGAGTTCTGGGAACTCGAAGAGCACGAAGTGGCCTACAGTTGGCTCCGGGCATTCAAAATGTGGCCCGGGAATGGAGTTCTGGGAACTCGAAGAGCACGAAGTGGCCTACAGTTGGCTCCGGGCATTCAGAATGTGGCCTGGGAATGGAGTTCTGGGAGGTCGAAGAGCACGAAGTGTGTGACTGTTGGGTTAAAACGACTTCTGCGGCACCCTGTCCGGCACCCGCCCAGACCCCCCTGTGGAGTCATTTGCTGCTCTTTTTTAAGACCACTAGAAACCTATCAGTCTTCGCTGTTAGGTAATAAAACAAAAAAGAAGGCCGGAGGCCTTCTGAGAAGTCCCGCCGCCTTCTGAGAAGGCCTTCTCCTTCTCGCTTCCTCGGCGGCCACGTGTGAACCCTACCCTCACCCCCAACAGTTCTGAGGGGGGCTGGGGGTTCACCTCGTTCGGGAGCTCCCGAGCGAAGTGAACTCCCCACCCCGCCCCTGAAATCGTGGGGGAGGTGGGGGTAGGACTCGCATGTGGCCGCTCACCCAGAAACGCGACGTCTTGATTTTTTCAGGACGGCATCCCTGGAAGTCCCGACCCTTTCCCCGGGACCGCTTTTTCATCCTGAGTCGTTTTTTGACCGTCCTGAGGCCCGGCGAGGGCCCCCCGGGGCCGAATGTGGTCAAAAACCTCCTGTCCCGATTGTTTAATGACGCGATCATGTCTGGGCACTCTCCCCCCTGGCTCGCCGCCGATGGTCCGCCTCGAAGAGCAGCGCCGGTGCGGATGCGACCGGGGCCACGGCTGCGGCGGCGCAGGAGGCTCCGTCTCCGGGGCGCTGCAGGGCGGCGCGCGCGCTTGCAGCGGCCATTGGCGGCCACAGCCCTCGGCGTTCGGCCCGCCGCGGGTCGAGAGCCTGGGCAGGGACCGGGCGTCCCGGCATGCCCAGGTGCATACGCCAGGGAGCCCGGCTCCGCAGAATACAGCACCCGCGCGGGCAGGACCTGCTAAGTTTGTCGGACCCCCGCAGGCGCCCGCGCGGCCGTCGCCGAGTTTGCGTGGGCGCGTTTGCGCGGTCAGCGTTCAATCTATGGTTTTTTGTCAGGGTGTCCTGCGACGGGGGTCGTTCGGCCGTTCGCGCCAGGGTGCCGAGCTCCGCAAAATAAAGCACCTGCGCGCGCATTCCTGGAACCAAACCGTGTTCGAAGAACGGAGAACAAGGCTCTCAGAACAGATGGCCAACGTGTCAAAACAAGACAGCCCCGGCCAGAGACGTGTTGAGAGCCTCTCGCGGATACCGCAAAAGGCTCTTCGAGCATGCTTTGGTGGGCCTATGGGCGAGCCAGGGCGCTGCGCCACTGCTCCAAGAGCGACCAACAGGGGGCTGCCGACCATGGGGGTGTGGCCCTCATGGCTGGCGACGTGATGACTGCCTGGATATCATGGCCACTCGCTCCTCGCTCCTCCTCCTCGTCTCCTTCTCTCAGTGCACTCCCTGGCCCCCCCTCCCTCGACGAGTCCGCGCACGTGCCACTGGCCCTGGTTTGCGACCCTCTTGGTCGCCCCCCGCTCCTGGACGCCCTCTCCGCTGGGGCGCCGGGGAAGGCCACGGCGGCGCTGCGGGCGCGGGTTCAAGAGTGGGCGCGGGGGGAGGACGCGGGGGTGAGGGGGCAGCAGTCGGCCAGGCGCTGCCCTGTGCTCTGTCTCGCAGCCTCCAGGCAGAGGTGGCCTGAACGGGGGACACTTCGAGAAGCTCGCGGGAGCGGCGCAAGAGAGCGGGGTCTTCTTCGCCGACATTCGCGCGTAAGCTGCCCGCGTAAGGTCGCGCGTGAGCGCCCTCGTCTTCAATGCGGCGTGCCGCGTAGGTGGCCCGCGTAAGCCACCTCGTAAGCTCGCTATGCCATCTCGTGTAGGACCCGCTTTCGATCGTCGCTCACGTGGGCCCACCACCGGATGCCTTAGGAGTAGTCCTTGAAAGCCTTCGCGGTGGAGGTGTTGACGACGGCCTTGGCTCGTATCGCCAGACAGACTCCTCCTCCTCCTCCCCCTCCTCTTCTCCTTCCCCTCCTCCTCCGCCTCCTCCTCCTCCTTCCCGTCCTCATTATCCTCCTCCTCCTCCTCCTCCTCCTCCTCCTCCTCCTCCTCCTCCTCATCCTCCTCATATCCTCATCCTCTTCCTCTCTTCCTCCTCTCCAACTGGCCTCCTCCTCCTCCTTCTCCTTTCACCTCCTCCGTCCCCCTCCCTCCCCATTCCCATTCGGCTCACAGGCCCTGGAGGGCAAGATTGCCGTGGTCACGGGCGCATCGCGCGGGATCGGGGCCGCCATCGCGGAGAAACTCGCGCAGGCAGGGACCACAGGAGGGAGAAGATGGAGGAGGAGGAGGAGGAGGAGGAGGAGGAGGAGGAGGAGGAGGAGGAGGAGGAGGAGGAGGAGGAGGAGGAGGAGGATGAGGAGGAGGAGGAGGAGGAGGAGGGCGAGGACACGGGCTGAGGAGGTGCGGCCAGGAGTGTGATGAGGTGAAGAGAAGGAGGGGGAGGAGCAGGATGAGGAGGAGAAGGAGGAGGAGGAGGAGGTGGGAGGGGGGAGGGGAGATGAGCAGGATGAGGAGGAGGGGGAGGAGGAGACGGGAGGAATATCAAGTTAGCTAGGGCGACCGGCTCAGAGGGTCCCGCCCATTCCAACCGTCCTCCCAATAGCACGATAGTCAATGGTAGCACACGCCCCCACCTAGCCAACGGACCTCGCTCGCGCGCGGTACCGCTTCCGATAACTTGGTGAGGGAAGACGCCTTCTGCACGCACGAACGGGAACGGATCTTCAGAAATTCCTTGCGCTGCGTCGAGAGCACCACTTGGTTGTTTCAGTGGGCGGCCAAGCTTCCGAGGAGCACGGCGAAGGAGACGCATGCGCCCCGCATTGCGTGTGGGCGAGAGGGACAAGTCGCCCATTTCGCGCGCGCCTCTCCGGCCCCAACGACTTGGCGAGTCAGAAACAGATGCGCGGCCGAAAGACGTGAGCCCCGATGTCGGGCGGCATCTGCGCGGCTTTGTGGCAAGAGTGGCATGTTCGTCTGCTTGCAAGTCGACGCACTGGACAGGGGAAACATGTGTTCTGGAGCGTGGCGCCGAGGCGAGAGCGACACTTCGCCCTTCCGCACGCGATGTGCGCCCCGTCGCGCTCCCGCAGCGCATTTTGCAGAGTCGATGCCAAAACGTAAGCGTGTTGAACGGGAGCGCATCGATAAAGTATTGGTTGATGGTGGGCAGGGTGGGAATTCCCGGACGGGGCGGCGATCTGCCGTCCAGCCTGAGGAGGCCCAGTCGCAGTATGGGCGAACAGGGGAGGAGGACGTGCTCGGGAACGTTTGCCCAGCGTGCCGTGCCGCCGTGTCTGGCCCGCCACTCTCCGGCGCGACGCGCCGAACACGTCCCATTCTCCAGGCCTCGACGTGCCGAGATTCTCTCGGCCTCCCGTCCCATGAAGCGGAGCGTGCGCTGGTAGCTTGCAAGACATAGCGTGACGCCGGCGCTGCCGTCGCGACATCTACAAGCAACAGTCCCTGACCGCAAAAAAAGGGGAGGAGAGAGGGGAGGATGATGAGGACGACGACGAGGGAGAAGAAGGGAAGGCAGGAGGACGAGGCAGGAGGAGGATGACGGCCAGGAGGGCGAAGAGGACGATGAGTAGGGGGAGTAGGAGGAGGAAGAGTAGAATGAAGAAGAGGGGGAAAGGGAGGAGAGGTAGCAATGGAAGGGAGAGGAGCGAGACAGGAGGAGGAGAGAGAAGGAGGAGGTGGATGAGGAGAGAGGGAGAGAATATGGCGACGACTAGGAGAGGATTGAGAAGAAGGACTAGGATTAGTTAGGGTCGTCATAGGGGAGGAAGGAGAAGAGGAGGAGGAGGAGGAGAAGGAGGAGGATGAGGGGACGAAAAGGAGGAGGAGCCAGCGCAGGCAGGGGCCACCGTTGTCGGGACAGCTACCTCGGACGAGGGCGCCGAGGCAATCTCGGGGCGCTTCTCAGGCGGCGACCTGAAGGGCTGCGGCCTGAAGTTGGACGTCGCGGACTCAGACGACGTGGAGCGATTCATGAAGGAGGTCGAGGATGGGGCCTCGAGACCGTTTGCAGTGGCCCTCCACCGTCTTCCCCGCTGTCTCCTCACCCCCTCTTCGACCCCCCTCCCTCCAAGTCATACTTCTCGTCCTCGTTCTCATCCTGGGCTCCTTCCCTCGCCTCCCTCCCTCCCGCTATGTTCCCTCCACGGAGGGCGACACTCGTTTTCAAGAAGAGGCTCTGATGGCCGCGCCCACTCGTCTTGAATGGTTGCCACCTCTTGCACAGATGGATGCGGTTCTCTTTCGAAGTGGGGTTTTGTGTGTAAGGTTTTTTTTGCGCAGCCGCAATTGCACAACTGTGCAGCAGCTTCACGGATGGAGGCGGTTGTCTTTTCAAGTTGTGGTTTCAACTTGAGATCCCGTACACTTGACCGACAAGAGGTACGAACTTGCGGAACGCACGGACGACGGGTGAGTGTTTTCCAATACGGGGTTGTCGATCGGCACCTTTGATTTTGATGACGCCATTGAATCGCATTCCTTGTAGCCTCACGTCGGGCCTGCCCCTCGACAGGAGGCAGATTCAGTGATAGTCAAAACATGGTCTGGGGACGTTGTTTCGTCTGTTTTCGAACATGCCGTCCTTTGCATGCACTTCGCTTTCGGCACCGCCTGATCCCGGGGCTTTGCCCTCTCTTGGCCTTGACGTGAGGCCCCTCCTTCTATTTTCCTTCCTCTGTTAATTAAAGCTGTGCGCGGCCCGCTTAGTTTCGACCGGAAGAGGCTCGCTCTCGACCCGCGGATCAAAGCACATGTTTTCGAACATGCCGTGATGTTCCCCATCTTCTTCCAATACCCGCCTGTAGGAGGACGTGCCCGACCTGACTGCAGCCCGCATCGTGGAGGGCAGCTCCTCTCCACCCGGACCCCTCCGGCCCGATTCCGGAGGAGAAGAAACACACAGACACAATTAATCCTCGATCCCCAGAAGCATGGGAAAATATGGGAAGTGTGGGGGGGGGAAGACAGAAACCCAGAAAAAGCATGGGAAGAGATGGGGAACCCTGTCATCTGTGTGCATCTATGTGTGTGTCCCTGGGCCCCTCCGGCCCGCTGGAGCTGCGAGCCCACGGGGCGCCCGTCTTTCCACAGCACGGGGGCCCCTCGCCCAGCGAGAGAGAGAGAGAGAGAGACTGCCCGCAGATGGCTGGGCGGGGAGTCTTTTGAGACGGGCGCGCTGCAGCACCGCTGACCCCATCCAGTGTCTGCTCGGGTCCTTCTCCTCCCCCTCCTGCTCCTCCCCCTCCCCCCTCCTCCCCCCCCCCCCCTTCCCTCCCTCCCCCTCCCCCCCTCCTCCCCTCCTCCTCATCCTCCTCCCCTCCCTCCCCTCCCCCTCCTCCCCCTCCCCCTCCTCCCTTCCTCATCCGTATCATCCCCCTCCCCCCTCCTCCCTCATTCGTACCCATCGGTCGTTGAAAGTATGACTTTTTCCCAACCATCCTGTGGTGTTGGGTCCTCGTTTTGAAGAGACGGCGCCCCGCGTTCCTCTCCCTCCGCCCTCCTCCCCCTCCTCCCTCCTCCCACCATCATCATCATCATCATCATCATCATCATCATCATCATCATCATCATCATCATCACCATCATCATCATCATCATCATCACCATCATCACCATCATCATCATCATCATCATCATCATCATCATCATCATCATCATCATCGTCTTCGTCGTCGTCGTCGTCATAGTCATCGTCATCGTCATCAACATCATCATTTCAAAGCTTCGTGGCCCCATAGGGAGCTCCACCGAAGGTCCCAGTAGGGGTGTTCGCATGCGACTCCCCCACCCATGACAGCGCTTCGTGGCCCCATAGGAAGCTCCACCGAAGGACCCAGTGGGGGTGGGCGCATGCGGTTCCCTCACACAGGGCAGCGTTCCGTGGCCCCATAGGGAGCTCCACCGAAGGCCCCAGTGGGGGTGGGCGCATGCGGTTCCCCCACCCAAGGCAGCGTTTCGTAGCCACATAGGGAGCTGAAGGCCCAAGTGGGGGTGGGCGCATGCGGTTCCCCCACCCAGGGCAGCGTTTTGTGGCCCCACAGATAGCTCCACCGAAGGCCCCAGTGGGGGTGCCCGCGTACGGTTCCCCCACCCAAGGCAGCGTTTCGTAGCCCCATAGGGAGCTCCACCGAAGGCCCCAGTGGGGGTGGGCGCATGCGGTTCCCCCACCCAGGGCAGCGTTTCGTGGCCCCATAGGGAGCTCCACCGAAGGCCCCAGTGGGGGTGGGTGCATGCGGTTCCCCCACCCAGGGCAGCGCTTCGTGGCCCCATAGGGAGCTCCACTCAAGGCCCCAGTGGGGGTGGGCGCATGCGGTTCCCCCACCCAGGGCAGCGTCTCGTGGCCCGATAGGGAGCTCCACCGAAGGCCCCAGCTGGGGTGCCCGCATGCGTCTCCCCTACCTAGAGGTAGTGCCACCGAAAACGATATTCATATTTGCGGTATTCACAACTGCATATGGTTGGGTCCTTCGCCAGGCTAATGTTTGATTCCCAGATTCCAATCTGCTTTAAGCGCCTTCCTGCTTCAATGGTCGAGTGGCTCTTCCCCTTTTCCGTCCTACCAAGGGGGCGGACGGGACTCAGTCTATTGTCAACGCCTTCCTACTTCATGTTTCCACCTACTCCTTCCGACCGATGGGTACCGCATCATCGTTGACCCCTCCTGTGTCTGCTCTGGTCCGTCTACCCCCCTCCACAGTTGCACCATCTGCATGCTACTCTCCTCTCTCCCCGGATGACGTTCGGAAGATGCTCGGCCACCCTCCGCGTATTGTTTTTTACAGCGGATTCCCGCGAGTCGGGTTGCCGCTTGTTTTTTGTTCAAATTGCTGCTCCCGCTGCAGAGCCGGCCGTACGTTCGGGCTCCCGCTCGTTCCGAATCGTGTTCCCGCTGCAGCGCTGGCCTCCTGTTCCGCACTTCCGCTCGTTCCGAATCGTGCTCCCACTGCGCCGTTGGCGTCATCATTTCCAGTGCCATGCCACAGCATGCAACGCAAAGCCAAGTGGTGTTCCGCTGTGCGATGCCATGCCTTCAGCTGCAATGCTAGGATATGCAGTGCTTGACTACGCAGTGCCACGCCATGCTATGCCATGCTACGCTTGAAAATTCAACACCATGCTATGCCATGTTCTGTTATGTGCCGCTGTGCGATGTCATTAATTGCGTTGCCACGCATTGTACTGCAATTCTTCACTACGCAACGCAACGCCATGCTATGGCATACTACGCTCTGCCGTGCTATTCTACGCCCTGCTATGACGTGCTCTACGATGCATCGCGCACCCTCTCGGAATCGTAGCCCTGCTCGACATCCGACTGTGCGAATAGAGAGGATATGTACGCCATGGTAAGGGATGGGAGCGAGGAGTAGAACGTCAGATATGACGCGAGCGCACCTAGCTTGCCCTCCTCCCCCTCCCCCTCCTCCCATCCTCCCCCATCCTCCCCCTGCTCCCTCATCCATGTCCTCCCCCTCCGCCCCCTCCCCCTCCTCCCCCTCTCCTCCTCACCCTCCCCTTCCTCCCCCTCCCCCTCCTACCCCTCATCCCCACTCCTCACCCGTGCCTCCCCCTTCGCCCCCTCCCCCCCCTCCTCCTCCTCCTCCCCCCCCCTCCTTTGAGCTCCCCGGCGTCGCGCGCGCGGCATTCTTGCGGATGGGCCCTTCCCTCTCCGAGGAGCTTGAAGAGTAGGGCATCCTCCCCTCCCCCCAGGTGTCGTCTCCTCCTTCTCTTCCTCCTCCTCCTTCTCTTCCTCCTCCTCCTCCTTTTTGTCCTCCTCCTCCTCCTCCTCCTCCTCCTCCTCCTTCGCCTCCTCCTCCTCCTCGTCGTCGTCCTCCTCCTCTCCTCCTCCTCCTCCTCCTCCTCCTCCTCCCCCTCCTCCTCCTCCTCCCCCTCCTCCTCCGTGTGTCTTCGCCTCCCCTCCGTTCCACTTCGAAGCTGGACTCCCCGGCAGGGTGCCAAACCGTGCTGTATTAAGCGATTCGGTGCTCGCCCCCCCCCAGGAGAAGTACGGAAGCGCAGACATCTTGGTTAACAATGCGGGCATCACCAAGGACACCTTGATGATGCGCATGAAGGAGCCCATGTGGGATGACGTGATCAACACCAATCTCAACTCGGTGTTCCGGATGACCAAAGCGGTGTCCAAGTCCATGATGAAGAAGAGGTTCCAGGCACTACAAAGAACCATATCCACAATTAAGCAGATTCTGCAGCAGGGTCGCTCGAGGGAGAACGCACCGACCTCAACATGAAATGTTTGGTTGTGGTCGCGGTCGAGTTGGTGGCCGGGGATGCCCACATCGACCCAATCAGTACTAAGCTGTCTTCGGTGTTCTGAAGACTGTTGAAATTTTCGAATCGCCCCCCAGGGTGCGTCATGGGTGTGATTGTGATCGCTTGCTGTCCCCGCAGAGGTGGGGCCGCATTATCAGCATCTCCTCCGTGGTCGGATCCATGGGCAACGCCGGCCAGACCAACTACGCCGCGGCCAAGGCCGGCCTGGAGGGCTTCACCCGAGCCTACGCGCGCGAGGTGGGCAGCCGCGGGATCACCGTCAATGCGGTGGCACCAGGCTGCGGTGGTGACGCCAAGCCCACTGCTCCCGACCGCCAGGCTTGGCAAGGCCACTCTTGGGCACAGGGTGGATGTGCATGCAATCTGACCACACCCCCATTCCCACCAGGCCACGGCATCTCAGCCCCACCATCCCACCAACACAGCTGAGTACTGGCCCCTCGAAGCCCGAAGGGAACAGCCGATATCCCCATCTGGGGTGGCAAATCAACTAGTGGGGCGCAAGCAATGCCAGTGGGGACATGGATGGGTTAAACGCTGCTAAGGAAGGCCATCGGCCCAGGGTGGATGTGCATGCAAGAGGGAGGTGGGGGGGAGGCAGAGGGGTCTTACCTGGCCCGGCCCAGAGGGCGTGTGCATTCATAGCGGGCCCAGGAGGGAACTTGCCAGGCGGGTTGCTGTAATTACAGGGGGGGTTCTCCCAAGGTTTCATCGCCACCGATATGACGGACGTGCTGTCAGACGAGCTGAAGGAGAAGTTGCTCCAGACCGTGCCGGTCGGACGCCTTGGCACCCCGGACGAGATCGCAGATGCCGTGCTGTATCTGGCCAGCCCAGGCACCTCGTACGTGACCGGCCATACCCTGCACGTGAACGGTGGGATGTTCATGGCCTGAGGGGCCCTAGCTGCACGATCCGTTAATTAGGGGGATGCGGACACCCAGAGTTTGTTGATGGTGTGGATGCTCATTTTGTTTGATTTTACGCGCGGCGCGTCCCCAAGAAGAACAAGGCTCTTCTGACTCAGGGGGGCGATTGCGTGCCTGCATAGCACGGGACTGGCTCGTACTCTTGCGTCTGGCCTTTGCCCCAAGCCCCGGCCGCCATCCATGTCGTGTCGGGGGCCTCATCTTTTTTTGCGACCTCGGGCGCTCTTTGGGCCCCGTGGGGGCATGCAGAGGACAGGGCATATGGTCCACACCTCCCAGATGGGGTCGGAGCAGACGGGGTGGGAGGATCGCGCAGTATCGCCGATGCACCGTCAATGCGGCTCGATGTGGAGCCCGGATGTCTCCACGCCGACGTCGCCGATGCACTGCTGACGTCGCCGATGCATCGTCGATGCGGCGTGATGCTCCGAACCTCTCTACTCGGACCCCATTGTGCAGGCATCTAAGTATGGGCCCCTCGCTCCCTGCCTGCATCCTCGTCCTGCTCGTCCCCCCCGCGGGCTGAGCAGGGGCGGATGAGGGGGGAGGGGGTGTGGGAGTTGAAGCCGCCTGGGGGGGTGGCCCAGCACTGGTGCCGGCCGGCAGGAAGGGGGGCAGACGCGAGGCGCCGGGCTCGGCAAAGGCTGTGTGCCGGGCCCCAGGACTGTTGGAAACGCATCCAGGCTGAACGACTGCACCAGATGGATCCCCGGGGAGGGGTCCAGCGACGGATTTTGGGCGGATTTGCCCTGATCTTCCCTTCGTGGCAGTTTTCTCGAGGTTCGTCCAGTTCAGACCCCCCGGCCGCCTCCGAGATCGGAGATTGATAGAACCCCCACTCGATCGTTGCGTAGTCCCAGACCCCCGACGTCGTGATTGTTTCACAAATCCACCCCCCAGAGGTCTGGACCCCTTCCCCGGGACCGGTTCTTCATCCTGAGTCGTTTTGTGACGATCCCCAGGCCCAGGGAGGCCCCCTGGAGGCCGAGAATAGCGAAAATCCTCGGTCGCGATTGTTTCGCGACGCGAGGGGGTCTTGGATGGGGGGCGATAAATGGGGTGGTGGTGAAGAGAGGTGTACCATAAAGGGGCCCTGGGGTTAAGATATTCCAACCTACTTAGCCTTGGTCACCAGACAAAATCGAGCGCCAACAATTTACCGAAATTTTAGGGTTTTCACGATTCGGGCCTGGGGAGGCGATACTCGTTCGACATTGTTTCGATACTTTTCTGGGTGCTGGAAATTATTTTGGGGATATGGTTCTCAAGTACGATGGGAACAACGTAACCCAGGACCCGTCTTCCTCGGGACCCGTTTGCGGCATGCCGAGCGAAGCAAAAACGTCGGGCAGCGCAGCAAGTGCGGCATCACTCTCTCTGGGACCCTGGCCCCGGGGGGGTCTCCTCCGGAGCCCACCAGGTCCGGCGAGTTGGTCTGACTCAGACCTTCGGCGATGCCAAGGCCCCTGGCGGCCCTGAGGGGATCTTGTCCTGAAGTACTGATGACGATGGTGATGATGATGGTGATGATGATGATGATGATGATGATGATGATGATGATGATGATGGTGATGATCATCATCATCAACATCATCATCATCATCGTCATCATCATCATCACCATCATCATCATCACCATCATCAGCATCATCATCATTATCATCATCCATCACCCACAACATCATCATCATCAACATCATCATCATCATCATCATCATCATCATCATCATCATCATCATCATCGCCGTCGTCATTATCATCATCATAATCATCGATTCGGCCCTGCAGAACGATGAGAGCAACAGAACCCTGGGGCTTGCGGGCCTGCGCCCGCTTGGGCTGGTCCTGGCCGGGGCGCCCGCGTCGGACGGTGCTTTGCCGAGGGGGGCTGTCTTCTATGCCACTCCCAGGCCCAGACATGCTCGCGCCGAACAGAAATCAGGACGGGAGGCTTGTGGCTACTTTCCTGCCCCGGGGGGCCCTCGCCGGGCCTCGGGACCGTCAAGAAACGACTCAGGACGAAGAACCGGTCCCAGGGAAAGGGTTGGGACTTCCAGGGACGCCGTCCTGAAAAAATCAGGACGTCGCATGTCTGGGGATGAAGGGAGGGGGGGGCCGTCGCGACTCATGGGAGCCCTGTGTATCGGAGGAGGACAAGGTACCCATGCCGCTACCCTTCGCCCGTTGTCCCCTTTCCGGCCTCCTGTGAGGCCCTCGTCGCCCCCGCTGGATTCGCCCCGAAGTCCTGGTCAGAACGCACCCCGGGAGAGGTCGGTGGAGTAGCTGTATGGGTACCGTTTGGTTTCCCCAGAAGGGGGGGGGGGTCGGTCGTGAATCATGAGAGCCCTGTATACCCCCCGTAGTTCCGCCTTCAGAGCGCACTGGCGTCGATTAGCGTCTTGCGATGGACGAGACGGCGCCGACTTAGTGTCGATGTAGTGTCGGTGATTGGCGTCGACTTAGTGTCGACTTAGCGTCGATTAAATAGCGTCGGCCCGCAAGAGCCAACAAGTTGGTAACCTCAGGAGGTCTTTAGTCCTGCAACCCCCCTTCAAAACAAGTCTCTGGCTGGCAATAACTATGTTCTTCGCGCCCCCGGTTTCGCCCTGTCCTCGTCCATGTCGACGTCGAAGCTTGAAGCTGTGGCCAGTGTCGCCGATACGGTCGCAGCCCTCGACCTTGTCCTGCTCCTCCTCTCCCATGCGTTGCAATGTGCTGTATGCGTGCGCGCGCGTGCACGCATGTAGCAGATTGTGCGCGCCTGTCCGATCGTGGCTGGTGTGCTGGGTCCTCTTGGTCACGGGTGGCTTCTCTCTTCTCGTCCCTTGCTTTTGTCCCGCCGTCCCCTTCCTTGGTGAGTGCGCTCCTCTCCCCGGAGCTGTCTCTCAGGGGGGGCGTGTGCCGGGCGGGGCCAGGACGAGGATCCGTCCGTTCCCTAGCGAACCGGAATGTTCTCAGAGCGTTCCGGAACGCTGTGAGAAGACAGCGGCGCCCGATGCAATCCCTCAGAACCGCGGGATCTCAGAGGTTCTCAGTTCATCCTCACCAGATTTTCTCCTCGCCCTAGCTTCGTCCTCGTGTGCGTGTGAGGAATGGGAGAAGCCAACCGCCCGCGCTTGCGCGAGGCTCTATCTCCCGGGGGAAATTGCGCCCCCTCGCGCCGCGGCCTCCCCTCCGGGCCCTCGCCCAGTGGGAGGCCATTCTGCTCGGCCACGACGAAACCACAGTCAGTCCGTCACAAAAGGATTCCTTGTGTAACCCGCCACGCGGAATCCGTTCGTAATCCGCCACAAGAGGAACCATTTGGTTTAGAATAGAGAAACTAGCGAAACCTAGGTCTCGTTGGTTTTCTTGGGTGGGGGGCTTTGTTGGTTGTTCCTTTGGTTTTGTTGGTCTTGTTGCTTTTGTTGGTTTTCCTCCCCTTCCCGCCACAACGGGAATCCTTCTGTCAGGCCGCTACAAAAAGAACCTTATTGTCACCCACCACAACAGGAATCCGTGTGTGATCCGCCACAGCGGACGCACCCCTCGAGAGGCTTCTTCTGTATAGCGCACACATGGAAAATGATTACGCGTGTTTTTCCCTGATTCTGGGCGCGCGGGATCTGCCACCAGAAACACATCAGTAAAAACATCGCCTTCGATCTCGCCTCCGAATGGAACTTGGGCCGCGGTGGAGAAGGGTTTCTTCTTTATTAACTGCCGTCAAGAAGGATGATTGATGTGCACTTGTTGTTGATGTTCGGCGCGGGCGTCTGCCATTAGAAATGAGCGGATGGAGCAGTTAACATCGCCTGCGCTTTGATTTCCTGAAGGAAAAGCAATCACTGCGGACGCACCCCTTAAGGGTTCCTGCTCTTACTAATGTCGTCAAAAGGAAGGAAGTATGTTTTTTGACTGTCGATTCTGATGCGGGTTGCTTATTATTGGAAACGTACTGGGTGAAACACATCACCCTCGACTGCTTTTCCTTTGAAGAACTTGAGCCAAGGCAGACAAACCCCTTGGGTATTTGTTTTTCTTCTCTCCAAAAACCAGACAGAGGGAGGAGTTATTTGCACTTGTCGTTGATTTTGGGCGCGGCGCGTTTGTCATGAGAAACGTAACGGGTGAAACACGCGTCGTCGGTTGTGTTGTCTTGAAGGACCACCAGCCACTGTGACAGATGTTCATTTGAGGGTGCATCGTTAATGGAGTACTGAAGCAGCGGAAGCGTAGATCATTGGGGGTGATCATTTCCAAATATACACATGTATATGCATGTGTGTGCAACTGTTCGCAGGTATCCCCAATATTCGTTATCCAACGTCCCCTGTCTCTCTGTTTTGTAGAGGGGTGTGTATATATACATATACAGATATGTATGTGTATATGTCCCTCCCTGTATGTATGTAGATGTATGTATAAATATGCATACCTCTCTCGAGCCTCTGGCTGTTTATTTTTGTTGTTCCTCTCCGTCTCCCTCTCTCTCCATGCTTCTCGTCATCCCTTCGTCCCTCCACCTCTCCCTCTCTCTCTCTCTTTCAATCATATTCGCGGTATCCGCGTTCCTCCCTGGCTCTCTTTGCTGGCAGACGCGCTGCAGGCGGATCCCGAGCGCTGGGCGCCGCTTGTGGCGATGAGTGGTGCTGCCGCCCGCGGCTGCGCTGCCTGGCGCCCGCGGCACAGAGCATCACGGCCAGGCCTGGGGGTCCTCTTGTCCAGGAGGAAGCTGTGGCGGCAGCAGTCTTCGGACGGCAAGTCGGGAGCCTCGAGACGGGGGGGTCCATCCAAACGGGCGTCCGCCAGAGCGCCTGGTCCTGCAGGATCCTGCAGGGCCAGGGTCGCATTGACCCAGGCTTGGGCGCAGGGATCTTGCAGGAGCCTTTGCATTGACACGGGCTTGGGTGCAGGATCTTGCAGGATATTGCAGGATTCTCCTTGGCTTACCTGGGTCTGGATTGACCTGGGTCAGTGCGTCCCCA